ATGGCTGGCTGGGGAATTCTGGGAGTTGAAGTCCACTCATCTTAAAGTGGCCAAGTTTGGACAACACTGGCCTAACAGCACGTGTAGGGAGGGTCTCAGTTGCAGGCATATTGTGGACCTTAAAGATTAATGCCATCTCTGATGGCATCCAAAGACGTAAACGCGAGAATGTGCACGTGGAAGAGTTTGCAGTCGACACAGCAGTCCTCATTAGCAATTAGCAACACATGCAGAACCTGAAAAAGTCTGTTCAGTTTTCTCGTTTTGAGATGCTGACTAGGCAATCGAATGAAACTCGTCTGCTAAGGTGGCATTCATACAACTTAAGCAGCTTTCTGACATAGAGGAGTGGTTGTGCAAACAGAACATCTGTCTCAAAGTCTCTCTCAGCTCCCATTAAGACATGTTTCTCGGGGGAAAAACAACAGCAGACAGCGCGAACTCTGCTTTCAATCACCTTTCAATCAAAACTTCAGTAGAACCATACATCACATCTGCTTCATAAAGGCTGATTCATTAAAGACAATAAGGATGTGCAACTTTGCCTATCAATCACCACTTCATTCATTAAGGGGAACTCAGGAAAATAGCTGCATTTTCTGCCTTAAGGTGATGAGGACATGCAAGGCAAGAAAAGAGCTGATTGTCCATTGCAAAAATTAAATTTACCATTTAATCTCTCTCGAATACACTCGTGCCTGTGTATGTGCACGCACACACACGCCTATACACACTCAATCTTGTTAATCTCCTCCGTACTGAAGCTGAACGGTCTTCTGAAATTTCAGATTTACAGGGAATTATTTTACAGAAAATTGGGAAGGAGGGAATGTAAAATCATGGGGGAGAGAGTCAGGATACTTCAATGATCTCCATGCTGCCTGAAAAGCTCGACTGGCTGCCCATCTTCCCCAGCTCCTCTCGGGACCTGTTCTCTGACATGATACCTTCCCCAAATTCCATCTGGCAGCTCCTTCGCTTGAACTGCTTCTCGAAAGAGCTCTCCTCGTGCCAACTCCGCCGCGAGTCACCCCGCTCCCCGTGTTTTTCTCTCCTGCGCACACCGTACGTTTGCTCACATCCTGTGGGTAGCTGACTGCAGCTGAAGGCCGAGTAAGTGGTGCTCCTCCCGTACAGGGCTGAAGCGGAATAAAAATGAGAGGTATCTGCCGTGAAATACCAGCTGCCGGTCAGGGAAGCTGCTGCAGACGTTTGAGGAGCTAAGATGTCCGAATGCCAGCCTTTGAGACCCAGCCCAGCCGCAGACTTGGCCAGATGCTGCTGACTGCTGGAAAGGCCAAAGAGGAAGTTGGTTCTGTAATTGTCTTCCATGCTGCCGCTTCGATGCAGGGGGTACAAGGGCGACCTCTGAGTGGGACCTGTGGTCCTCCCCAAATGCTGCCGCTTGCTCTGGTTGTCCAGCTGCCAGCCCTTGTGGGACTTCTCTGGGAGCTTGGTGTGTTCCTTATCTGGACTGCCCTCGGGCGTCTGTTCCGAAACCTCCTGGACAGGAGAGAACTGGCATAACTTGCTGCCCCCCTCCAAGGTGCCCGAATGCTTGTAGTACTCTAACGTGTCTTCCAAGGAGGGATAACCCTGTCCTGAAGCAGTGATGCAAGTGCTGCTTGTGGCACAGGAGACCGATTTGATATCCAAGGAAAACGATCGCTTCAACCGGTTGCTGTCTTCAACTTTATCAGAGGAGACGTTTAATCCAGTTCTGCCTTGTGCCAAGGAGCTGCCCTCTACAGATGGCAGAACGGGAGCTGGCGGGCTTCCTGGCTCCAGGGGTTTCTGCTCCACAGTCTCTGAGGTAGAGGAAGCACAGAGCTGAGAAGAGGCCCGCAGGATGGTGGTGGGCCCACTGCCTGCTCCGTGGTTGCTGCCGTTTTCCAAATGCAAAAGCTTGAGTTTGCTAACAAGTCCACTTGGGCCACCCTGGTTCTTTATTTTCTTTTCAAAGTCCAGAAGTTGACCAAGAAAGTTGAAGTTAGGAGAAATGGTTGGCCTCTTCTCTTTCACAAATCTAAATGGAATTAGAAAAAATTGAATTAGAAAAAAGAATTCAGCCAATCAACCTTGAATTCCGACTTGAATTGTGCGTACAAAACATTCACTGAGGTTGGCTAGGCCATAAGCGTTACCTTCCAAGGTAATCTAAGGTAACCCATTGTGCAGAACACACACCCTCGGATTAAGCAAAGTCGCCTTTGATCATCCGCATATATCCCGCTCCTTTTCTTCCTGCCAATTCCATGCATGGTTCTTTGCTCTTGTTGCAATCCTCCCTCAAAACCACTCTTTTATTAATCATTTAGCATATACCCAAGTATTCATTCTCTACTAAGCACAGGTGTTCTCATATCTATCATCCATCCATCCATCCATCCATCCATCCATCCATCCATTCATCCATCCATCCATCCATCCATCCATCCATCTTTTCTACTGATGTACAGTGGGAAATATCACATACATTATGGCATGATACATCTTTGATCTTACACACTTCTTACACTTTTGTGCATTCCAATGTCACAGACCTGGGGAAGGATGAGGAATTATTGCAGAAAAGGGAAGTCTGGTCCCTTGACCCTAAAAATCCAAATATATTACACTGCATATAATCTACGTATAATCTGGGGCAGAAATATGCTTTCTTAAAACTAGAAACAAATTCACAGCCAGTTAAATTCTGTCTCCAATCAACACAATTTTGTCTTGTTTTGTTTTGAAAGAGAGGCAACTCTCTCGCTAGCTAAGGGTACAACCACCACTGCAGTCCTTTGCCCTACAGGAAGGTGATCCTGAATTTCACACTGAGATTTTTCTCTCAATTTGCTTCCGTTACCACATTCTCAGAGAATCCAAAACTATCCTTGCGTTTGAAAGACGAATTGTTTGGAAAAAAATTTAGCCTTCCTGTAATCAGTAGAAGATGTTAAGGATCGAGTGTTCCAGAGAATAATTTAAGCTGTGCGGGGACAATTTTTTTCTTGGATTTTCCCCCGAGTTGTCATTTTTAGTGCTATCAAAATTGATTTTCTTTCACGGAAGCCACGGAGAGTCCAGCTTATTGCAGCGGGATATGTACGCAATAAATAAATGAAGGCGCAGTAGGGCATGTTGCAAATTTGAGCTGTAGTCCACTAGAAGTTCTTAGGAGAGCCTATTCACAAATTCAAGCTTATCCCACTCTAATTAAGGGGAAAAAGGGACCACCTTCTGCCCTGTCTGTCCTCTGCAACTGACCTGCCCTAACCACACGGAAGCCCTTTCCAAATACTCAAATCTAACCTCCCAGGTTGTTCTTCTCCAGGGTGAAGAGAGCTCTTCCCCTTACCTGTAGGCCTCATCTAAGGACATGTCCATTCTTTTCATTATGTACGCAATGGCGATTGTGGCCGAACGGGATATTCCAGCCAAACAGTGCACTAGGACGCAGCCGTTCGAGGCTTTTGCTTTTTCTGTGGCAAGCAAAGAGAAACAGAAATCAACCTCATGACACTCTAAAGAAGAAGAAAACCAGAAGTCTCTTGTGCACAGATAGTCAGAATCAGCCTTGTTATAAATTGTAGAGGGGGGGTGGTGGAAGAGAGAGAGAGAGACTATTTAATCAACTGAAACTTCATTTCAAACAACGGTGTTCTAATGTCAGTGGTTAAAGCCCGTTGCATCTTGTGTCAAATCCCTGCTTTTTTTCAGACGTCTTTAAAGATGTCTATATTGCGATGAATTATATCCACAGGGCCGAACTGCGTACGCTCGCTCTGGCTCCAGATCCAGTTTGCAAGATCAAATGTAAGTGGCGAAGCTGTTCTCAGCACAACCAATAAGGGGCAAAACTGAAACGGGCAATTAACACAGACCGTGATTAGATACAATATAGGAAGGCAACCCAGGCGAGGAGAGGTTGGGGTCTTTCTGCTGTTCCTTCTTACTCTATGTTTCCATGCTTCCTCTCCAGCTAATAACAGTTTTGTAAAGCTAAATGATTGACTCATGTGTAGCTTTGCTACTCTCTTTGCAAAAATTGACACTAACATGAATGGTCTTGAAGGAGAAACAAGTACAAATAATTTATTTCAGTATTTCTCAACCTTGGCAACTTGAAGATGTGAGGACTTCAACTCCCAGAATTCTGGGAGTTGCAGTCCACGCATCTTAAAGTTGCCAAGGTTGAGAAACACTGATTTATTTGTTGAGAAGACATCAGAATGTAAGGAACAAGACCAGCGAGTAATTTTTGAGAGGGGAATGGTACAAATTGACAAACATTTATATTTTCAAACTGAAGAAAATGGAGGAAGTGGTATGGTGAAAATGGTTTCCAGCCAAGATGACCCTACACAGGCAATGATGGTTGGATTTAATTACTGAGCACCTGATCTTCTCCCCATTTAGACTGGGGTGATGTCACTTTAATGTCATCTCATTCACACCCACTGCACATGATATGATTGTGGTACCCTTTTCCTTATCATGGGAATTGGGATAAACAATCTCTTAAACAGGATTCAGGCCCTCATAGAGAGGATTTTCCATTTAAATTCATCTAAAAGAAGAACAGCCCTTTTTTGTGAGGTATTAGCAAGGTAGCACTGACATCACAGGGGCTAGACTAATGACTGGATAATTGTTACCTCTGCCTGACCGCGTGGGGCGGGTTGATGTCACGGGGGTGAGATGGTTCCTCGGGTAACCCAGTCCCATGCCACGTAGGGCTTTAAAGGTGATAACCAACACTTTGAATTGGACCTGGAAGCAGACTGGGACCCAATGCAGCTCGCGTAGTAAAGGTGTTATATGTGCTGTTCTTGGGGCACTCAAAATTATCCGTGCAACCGCATTTTGGACCAGCGGTAGCTTCCGGATACTCTTCAAAGGTAGCCCCATGTAGAGCGCAACCAATTGTGGTCGTAAGTTGAGGACTACCTGTACCTAGAAACCTATCCAAAAGCATTGAATGTAAATGCATTCCTGGGGTTGTAAAGAGACCCCATGTTAACTCAGACCTTTACCTATGAAGTCCACAGACTTGTCCAGCCAAGGAAAGATTTTTTCACAGAAGCTGTCGTTCACTGGCACCCTTAAGAAGTGGGATTCTGGGATAAAGTCTGGCTTGGGACACGTATTACTGGCATTTAACACGTAGCCAATCTCGTTCTGCTGCATCAGCTCCTGCAAAAAAGAAGTCGACACCAGAAGTTAACAAAGCCAGCGTGAGAAGAAGAACGCCCTAAATCCATGCTTCAATAGACCATTTGGAGGCAAGGGGTATCCATGACTGCCCCAAATCTGTCATGTACATCTTTCCTGTGTCTGTATGTAAACGTAATTATACCTGTGAGGTACACTGATAGAAACGGTGTACATTAAACTGTTTCAGAAATGGAGGCATCTGAAGAAAAATGTCTGTTGCATCTGAATTCTGGAAAATCAAGATTTTATTTATGGTGTTCTGAATGTGAGTAGCAATGTGAAAAAGCCATTTTTCCCAGAAATTATTGCATACTTATCAGATTGCCCTCTCTCGTTCTCAGCTTCAAGAACAACCTCGTGTCTCTTGAGCTGAGCTTGAGTCCTGAGGTCCACGTGGGATGCATCCACGTTGTCATCCTGACAGCAATCCAAACGTGGTTTGCTACTGACTTCTTTTGGGAAAGTTTCTGCTTTGCTTTGCAACCTCCCTGTCTAATTTTCATCCATTTTACTTTACTTTTTCTTTTTTTATCTTCAGAAAAAGCCACAGTAACCACCAACAAAGGCCTTTTGGCGGGGGGGGGAAAGAGGGGAGTATTTTTCATCAAATTTCTAGATGTATTTATTTATGGAATTTATATTCCATAATATGTGATGATTAATGCTACTTTTACTGTGGTTTTATTTTGACCTGGCTCACATTCCTACCCTCCCGTCATGGGAACTTACTCATCCTAGCCACAATGCTTGGGGAAACTGCCAAACCCTTCCTAAGGACCACCTGAGTAGGGGCCAAATTAACATGGGATGGGGAGATCATTCCAAAGGGCAGGCCCCACTAATGAGAAGGTCTGCCACCTGGTCCCACCGGAGTACACTGTTTCAGGGAGGGGATCCAAAGTGTGCCCACCCTATTAGAATGAGTGGGCCAGCAGATGTCCTCCAGCGCAGGCAGTCCCACACACAACCCAGTTCTGTGCCACTCTTTGTGGGTTTTCATATCTGTAATCAAGGATGGCCTCAATTTGCCAACGGAGACTGCTTAGGAAGCCTTGCACTGCCCCATTTTCTGGGGGCTCAAATGCGCGGGAATCGCTCCCATCCCATTTCCTGCCCACCTTGTTGAGGACGTCTCTTTGGCACCCCAGATACAGATGGGGAAGAATCCGGGTGGGGCCCGTGTTGGAGACTGGTAAGCAAGGCTGGGAAATGCAGGAAGGCACCAGGATAGATTTTCCTTCACAAAGGCCAGGGAAACCGTTGGAAAATTCAGCAAATCCACCTGAAAGAAATAAGTGCGCAAGTTCCCATTTTGACTTCAGATAATAACAGCAACATCCATCTCAAATCACTTCCCTAACTTGCCTAATGAAGTTGAGTGTGGCTTCAGTGTGTTTTTCTCTCAATGTACTTTTTGCTTTTATTTTCAATGCAACTGAAGAAGGAAAACCATACAGAATACATTCCCCAGGGAATCTCTGTTACACCAAGACAGAACAAAATTCTTACCAAACACAAAGGGAAGTCCTTGGTACCCCAACAAGAAGTTCTTGAAAAGTCCTTCTAACTACAAAATTCAGTGCTTCATACAATTCAAGGAGACTTTGGTTCTCTTCTCCTTTGGACAACCTTAGCTCGTCTGTCAATGGCCAGCTTCCCAAATTCTTTACAACTGCGCAACATTTTTTGGATAGGCAGACACACATTGCAAGTTTCATACATCTGCAGGAGAACTAATGCTCAACTGTCACTTCTATTATGGTGTCACCATGCATATGACACAAATTATGAAACATTTTGATGCCCACAGTATTATTATGACTTATTCCATTCATCTGTGTATGCACACATACATCAATTCACTTCTGTGTATCCCAAATTTTCTAAGATTTAGAAGTCTATTGGTAAGCAGCTCAGATTTATATGCAAATATTTATAACACTACTTTTTTTTTACAAGCATGAGATTCTGACAGCCTTGAACTGCTATTCAAGCTTATGGTCTACAAAATAAAGCATAGAATTTTTGAAACAACAGGTTCTTCCTTGTATATCAGAATGATCAAACCCTACCATCATCATCATCATCATCATCCAATGTGATGAATCATGAAATATTCTTTTAGAGTTCACATTCAGTCACTTGATGGCTAAAATATGATCCTTGCATGAATGTAAGAAGGTTCAAGAGAAATTCAAGAATTTCACACTAAATTATAGAGATGCTCTTCGATAGCATCCTCCATGTACATGCAGGGAACAAAGAGGAAGAATAAATAAGAGAAATCAAGGGACGCCTGGGGATTCATCAGTGAGGCCAAACCCAACAGCAGAAGATTTTTTTGGTGATTCTCTTCCATTTCTTTTGTCTTTGCAAAGTTCTGCTCTTGGTGGAGGAAAATCAACTACAGTATCATAACAAAACAAAACCCTCTTCTATAGGGAGAAGCGTGTATCATTCAAAGACCTGCCTGTGTGTTTTTCTGAAGGCCTCCGTTCTTACATCCAACGCATTTGTGGTCAAAGAAAAGAAAAGCCCTCTCCTGAAACGTAGCACCTGCCTCTGGCCACCTCCACAGCCCTTTCAGTCCATTCAGTTTACTGGCGCAAGGTTGTCTCTCACACAAGGCTTTGCTTTTAGTGTAATACGAAACAGCGACGTAGGATGTGATGTGAAGCAGCCCATACCTACGTACAGGCCAAGCTTGGCCAATATGCCAGAATAATGAAAAGATGCAGCGATGCGCCAGACATTCCTTCTTAAGGCAAGCAGAGGGTTTTGTGCTGAAGCGCCCGCTTGCTCTCCCAGTGCAATGCAAGTAAAGCGTTAATGGGCCCTAAGGAAAGCAGCTGGAAAACCAGGGTTTGGAGAGAGGCAAAAGGGAAAGGAAACGGAGACACATGAAAGAACAGAGAGATGATTCTTGTAACAAAATCATTTTGTAAATAAGAAGTGGGGAGGAATATTGTTTTGTTTATTTAGAACACTGCTTTTTTTACAAGCATGAGATTCCCTTTAAAGAGAAGCAACTTTACTACATACAGTGTCATTGCTAAATAAAGTCTGATCAATTATATGGTCCTCTGAGTCAAGGAAAGCAGGACCCTAAACCTCCCCACCAGGACCTCTGAGATACAGCGCCAGTGTTTTTCACACTTGGCAACTTTAAGATGTGTGGACTTGGACTCCCAGAATTCCCCAGCTATGCTATCAGAAAAACAACAATTAAAAGAGGACATCCATCAATCTAGGAGTTTAAGTTGATAATTGTTGTGTGGGGACACTGAATATTTTTAAAGATATTAATGAAACTTAAAGGAAATGATAACTTCTGATCAAATAAACCTGATTTTTCCCCCACCTCCTCTACAATACAGTAACAGAACCTAATTTGTGATGTTATTTCAAAGATATCAAGATTATTTATGAACTCTAACATACCCACCCCCCAGAGTTAACGTGAAAACTCAACTCCAATCACACCACGACTGGGTGAGAAAATCACTGAAAATGCAAAATCACAATATAAAAACAGTGAGGGTTAAACCAATTGTACAAGTGTGTGTGTGTGTGTGTAACCCTCATGGACTAACCTCAAACTCTTACATCACAAGAGAAGAGCCAAGTTGGAACTCATAACTATAGCTGTTGCCTGACCACACACGCTATATTCCCTCTCATCTCTTCTGTAATTGCAGATATTACCCTGCCTGAACCTAATTAAATAACCACAACTGGGAAAGGAGTGCCCCAAGGTTGCACACTGTGCTCTATATCATGAGACACGTTGGACTAGAAGAAAGAGGAGTTGGAATTTAAAATGTTGTAAGACATATTAACCACCTCAGATATGCAGATGATAGCACTTTGATGGCTGGAAGTGAGGAAGCCTTAAGGAATCTCTTGTTGACGGTGAAAAAAGACAGCGCAGAAGCTCATCAGCTGCTTCATGTTCTTCCCAAGCAAACAAAGATCATGCCCATGTGCAATCCCAATCCATTGTAAATAGACAGGAAGGGTAGAGGTAGTAGACTTCATCTCCCAGGCTCAAAAATGTATAGGGATGGTGACTGCAGCTATGAAATAAAAGGATATCTGCTCCTTGGGACAAAGACTAAGGCAGATCTAGACCAAATATTAAAGTGTAGAAACATCACACTGACAGCAAAGATCCATGTTGTCGAGGCCTTGGTTCTCCCAGCTGTAGTATATGGCTGTGAAAGCTGAACCATCAGAAAGGCTGAGTGAAGAACAACTGATGATTTTTAATTGTGATGCCAGAGAATATTGCTGAGAATAAATTGAACTGAACAAGAACAAATAGTAGATAAAATAAAAGCAGATAGCTCCCCAGAAGCACTAAGAACAAAGCTCAGGCTATATGTTTTGAACACATAATGTGAAGGCAAGAGACTTTGAAAAAGACCTAGTGCTTGGAAAAATTGAAAGTAATTGAAAGAAAAAGACAAGGTGGGTAGGTACTATCATTACTGAGACAAACATGACTTAAAGAAGCCGTTAGTGACAAACATCCCTGATGAAATTATGTCTGTCGGGTCAAGATGAGTTAGGAACAACTGAGCAACATTTTCCCCTTTCAGTTTAGTGATATTGTTAGATACTACCATCTACCATGGTGTGCAACAATCCAGTTTCCTCTGGTTTGGCCTAATGATGGTTCTCCACAAACTCAAAGTGCACTCATCAGAGTTACCATCCAAACAAAAAGGAAATGCCAGGAGATGACAGGGCCATGGAGAGTCCCTGGAGAAACACGACCCTAAATGTGCCGCCTGACGTAATGACCATAATTTCAAAACATTTAGAAATATTTTGGCTGCGTTTGCTTATGATGGAAAATTGTGGTTCTTTATCAAAGGCCAAGCTTGTGGTTCTTCCTGCCATCAGAACAAACTAAACAAACCACAGAGGCCTTCTCTGCGATTGGCTTACTGTGACCTGCTACTCAAGATCATAGCTTCTGACTTTGGTTGCTCAGGAGGAGAGCAGAGCAAAGTTCTTGTTTTACCCATCTTGGTCAATCAATGGTACCTTTCACTTTGTGAGGTTATTTCAGCTGTTCATACTGGCAGGAAAAGTGAAATGGAAAAACGAAACATCCATTTTTTTTTTTCCAGAATGGTAGCCTACCATGACATGTCAACACCTATTGGATGAGCCTTGAGCAAGCTCACTTCCTGTCTTTTGCTCAATCAGCAAAGTCATGTGCAGTTTAGAAGCTTCTACATCCATTTCAGCATAATCTCAGTTTAGCATTATGTCCAACCCCTAACTTGTAGTTAATCTGAAGTATGCGTTATTAAAACAAGACAGCTTCATAACCCATCAAAGGAAGCTAGCTTGTTTAAAAGAACAGCCGTAACAATTTACAGTTCAGGACTCTTCAGCCCCACGAGGTAGACCAGGCCATGCGATCCACTCCATGGAAAGGGTGAACCTCCTGTTATTGAGATGGGCTACAATAGCTGACTCTTGCAAGTCTGATTGTGCTGGACCTCCTCCGCCTTCTTACACTTCAGTGAATCAATCAGGGAGGGGTCCGTCTGAGCCACTTCCAAGACTTAAAAAATGCTTTAGCCTCTTTTGCCTGGGCGTCATATCTGCATACAGCCATCTTCCTTACTCTCCACAGGAGTGCAAGTGGTAGTTGACGAAAACCAAAATGAATGCTTCTGAACAAGTGGGAGAGGAGGAAGGGCTGTAGAAAGTCTAAGGCCCACAATTTGTCCTCTAAGCCAAAACTGTCCTTCCCCAATCTGATTCTGAAATGCAATTTCCATCAGCCTGAAGGTACCACAAGGATAATGGGAGTTACAGTCCAAAATATCCCAAGGGCACTGGGATGAGCAGGCTGCTGTAACATCTGTAGTCTAAATCAGTCTTTTTCAACTATGATACAACAAAACTACACAGCTGTGGTCATGAAGTTGTCAAGAGTGGAGCTTGACTTAAAGGAGGGTTGACTTTTGCAGAAGCAAATGCCAAATTTTAAATGGCAGCGGAAGGATGGCATGGAAGATTGCACGTTACTGTAGATATTTGATCTTCCATCAAGGAGATGATGATAAAGGACATCATCTACCCGGCTGAAAACGTGTACGTCCATCTTGTGAAGCTATTTCTTACCGTTTTGCTCAGGACCAGATGCCCAAACCTGGGAGGTCCAATAATATCCTCAATTCCCTTTATCAGTTGGTAAAACGGAGATTTCTTTTTTTAATCTGCGGGCCTTTAGTCTGTCACTAACCAACTTCCAGCTGT